TCACCACCACCACCACCACCATCACCGTATTGTGCCACCATGCTCGCCTGTGCGCCCTTGGTCGTCACGGTCATCACTGTTGCGTTGCCTGCAGGCACGCCATCACCGCCATCACCATTGCTGTTGTACTTGGCGTCCAGCAGCACGTCTGCCATAAACTGATCCAGCAGAGCCATTGCCTCATCATCACTCCTGCCGTTGCTGCTGCCGTTCACGGTCGACTGGGTTGTGGTCCCTGCTGCTGCGACTGTCACTGCATTTGTTGTCTTTGCCTCTGGTGACAGCGTGGAAGCCCTCAAACTCATCTCATTGCCACCAGCACCATCACCAGCAGTGCTGGGTTTCCTCGCCGTGTGAACGGGAATGCGTTGAGGACGCACGTCTGCCATCGCCCATGCATCATCGCCGTCATCATCATCACTGTGGATGCGGTCGCTGTTCGTGGCGTTTGGTGTGACAGCGAAGAAGTTGTCGGTCTGTCGTGATGAGGAGACGCATTGTGATGTTGAAGACGCGGTGTTGGGGGGGGGGGGACGGTAGATGTGGTGCACGTGGTGCATGTGGTGAGCGGTAAGTGCAGAAGGTGGACTGATGGGAGTCAACATGAACAGCACATGACGATGCTCAACAAGCGCTGGGACACACACAGACACGGTTATACACAGACACACAGACACACACACACAGACACACACACACAGTGTCGTTGACCTGGAGGTTCAAGTTCGCGTCGTCGTCTGGAAACAAGACAGGCTCCACGTCCGGGACCTCAAGCTGTAAGGGTGACAATGCAATGCAGATGAAGAGCCTTGAGCAGCTGAACGGAGAGCGTTGGCGCATTTACGTGTCACGACACGCAGACAGACAAAAACACACACAGACGCATACAGATACACGCACGCACACAGATACAAAGACACACAGACACAGATACAGACACAAACGCAGACACACAGACACAGCGCACGCACCTCTTCGTCGAACAGCATTGGTTGCAACCGCTTGTCCCGCGTCGATTGCGTGTGCTGTTGCTCCTTCAATGCACCTGCGAACAAGGTGGCCGTGTGAATTGTACTGCAATACGTGTGCAGTATGCAATGGACACCAGCAAAGACAACAGTTGAATCCACAGCACAAGCACGCGCCAATGCGGCAGCATGCTGCAAGTGTGTGCACCTTTCTTGCGGCGTGCCATCATCCGCGTAAAGAACGGGTTGGTGCCGTTGCTGATGGAGGGAAGTGACTGCAAAAAGTCATCGTGTGATTCCGGCTGCGCACGCATGATGTCGCCCGCTTTGCCCGTGAGCCAGTCTGGCATGGCACGCGGTGCCGCATGCCTGTTCGCTCCCGACAACGCCTTCTTGCTGCTCGTCGACAACAAATGACTCGCTCCAGTTTCGGCTTGTGATTCCCCTGGCAACTGCTTGGTGTATGATGCATTGTGATCCTGAGCTGCGTGACTACCGTCGCGGTCCGGGGCAGCGTCGTGGTCGTTGCCACTGGACGTGCTATGTTCGTGGTCGTGGTCGTGGTCGTCGCAGCACGAGCAGGATGAGTGCTGGTGCTCATGCGCTTGGTCCCTGTCTGCCCACACCTGCCTGTGGCCATGACCAGCACGCAGGGCCGCCCGTTTTGATCTCAACCGTGCTTGCAGCTCCTTACGCCGCGCTTCCTTTGCTGCCGCTGCCGCTGTTACTGTTGCAGTTACTGTTGCAGTTGCATCCTGCTGGTGCTGCTGGTGCTGCTCATGCGTTGTTGGACCCTGTCTCTCACCACTCTGTTGTGTTGTCCCCTCTGTCTCTTTCAATAATAATGTTTCTTGTTGGCCCTTGTGCTGGTGCTGCTGGTGCTGCTGCTTGTGTTGTGCTTTCTTCTTCTTTGACGCTGTGGTGTTCTTGTGCTTGTTGTGCTTCTTCTTCGCACCGCCACCACCACCACCGCGTTTGCCGTTGCCGCCCTTCTTCATCTTTGGCAGTTGTGCTGCTGCTGTTGCGGGACTGAAGTCAGTTTCCAAGGTGAATGGTGAGTCATAGACTGACTTCAGTCGCTTCGTGGTTTCGGCAAGAAACGGCGATCAGCCTTCCACTTGCGACACAAAGCAAGAAGTGTGTGCCTTGGTTGGCTGTGCACGCACCACCACCTTGCTTCTTGCTCTGGCTGGAGATCGGAGTTTGACTGTGTTTTGAATGTGAGGGCGTGAGAGTGTGCGTATCTGTCTCTCTCTGTCACTCAAACCCTCTCACTCTTCCTGTCTCAATTCTCTTCTCCTCTATCTCTCTCACTCTCACACACACACGCACACACACGCACGCACGCACACACTCACCCCTCCTCCACGCTTCCCTGCTCTGCGCATTCTCCATCTCAAGCGACGCAGCAGCAGCGACGTCGATATGGCGTCTCCGGAACTGATCATCGTACAGTTTATGCGCGATCATGTCGTCTTCAGGAAGCCAAACTTGATTGAAGGTGAGTGCGTGCGTTGGCGAGCAACGCGTGCATGCAATCTCAGTGTACAGGTGCAGACCAAGTTTGAGGTTGATCCTTGTTGCGTGAGGAGTGTACACACACACACACACACACACACACACACACACACACACACACACACACACACACACACACACACACACACAACACGCACATATCGACTCACGTGCTGATTGGTCTCCTTCCATGGTTTTGAACAGCTGCTGAAAGATCTGCTTGAGGAGCTGGAGGTGAGCAACGCGGTGTGGCAGGAGGGGAAGCACCCGATTGCACGCGACAAGAAGAGCAAGGCGTTCTTCAACCGGCAGCTCGGCATTGTGGAGCTGTTGGAAGACGAGGATCTCCGGGAACAGCTGCGATCTGGAAAGACGCGGGACACCCGTATCCAGGTAGCCCTGCTGCTGTTGTTGTTTGTATGCTGTTGTTGTTGTTGTTGCTGTGGCTGGCAGGCAGTGTTGTGCTTGGTGGTGTCGTGTTCGCGCTCGCAAGCAGCTTCACCGCGCACCTTCTTCACACACACACACACACATCAACAGGTGATGATCCCGAGCTACAGCGGGCAGCGCACGGAGCAGGTGCTCTCTGGACTGCAGAATTTGGGCATTGGCGAAGACGACTCATTTACGTCAATCTGGTCAGGGCATCGAGTGTACAGGAGTGGTGCTGGTGGCGGTGTATGTGTTGAAAATGCACGCAAACGCATCCAACTTCTGTTGCGTAGCACACCATCCTGCGTGCATACAACTCACCGATCCACCACCACCACCAACCACCCTTATCACCACCACCAACCACCATTGTCACACGACCACCAACCACCCTTATCACACCACCACCAACCACCGTTGACACCACCACCAACCACCATTGTCACACGACCACGACCACCGTTGGTGCCATGGGTGCCAGGGTGCTGCCGATGATCCTGCGTCTGCCCGGCGCGCAGGTCGAGGAGAAGGGCGACGATGTCATCAAGGCCCGCGTCACTGTCATTCAGGTATCCCTCCGAGTCGACCAGCGGGCGTGATGGGCGATGTTGTGGGGGGGGGAGGGATCATGCGCGTATGTGTGTGTGTGTGCGCGCGTATGTGTGTGTAATTGATGTTGCTCTCTGTTTGTACTTGTGCGTTCGTTCCGTCTCACCATTGCATGCCACCGTCGCCTGCACGCATGACCAGATCATCAACAACCTCAAGTCATCCGCCGCCCTCACCCTCGACTTCCTTGGTCTCTGCTTCGGCGCAAGGTCTGCCGTGCTGCACTGCATGGGCGCATTGTGATGTTTGATGGTGATGAGGTGATCGAATAGCATTGCTCAGTGTGTGTGTGTGTGTGTGTTGTGTGTGCGTGTTGTGTGTGTGTGTGTGGTGCTCTGTTGTCCTACATCGTGCACTTTCCCTTGTGTCCACCACTTGTTCATAACCACTCATCATTGGAGCGTCTCATCACACCATTCACGCATCCCCCTCCTCTCACCGGCTCGTCTATTGTGTCCTTGGAACACCGCGAACACCCTCCGCCCTCTCTCCCCACATGACACCCTTGCATCCCCATCAGCGTGATTGCGTCCATCGGTCTTGCACGCGATGACACCGTCACCACCGTCGCATCCATGCTCATCTCCCCGCTCATGGTCAGTCGCACGTGGTGCATGCAATGTGTGCATGTGTACGTGTGCGCTTTGTGTGTGTTGTATGCGTTGTTTTGTGTTGTGTTGTGTGTGTATGTGTGTGTGTGTGTATGTATGTGTGTGTGAATGTATGTGTGTGTGTGTGTGTGTGTGTGTGTGTGGACGGCATCGATGCTGCTCCTCTAGGTGTTGTGCAAGTCGTTGTCTTCAACCATCATCATCATCATCATCATCATCATCATCATCATCATCATCATCATCATCATCATCATCATCATCATCATCATCATCATCATCATCATCATCATCATCATCATCATCATCATCATCATCATCATCATCATCGTCATCGTCATCATCATCATCCAACGTTCACGGGCCACAATCACCCCTCCTCGCTTCTCCTTTCCGCCGTCGCCTTGGTGTCGAGCAGAGCCCGATTCTCGCCTTTACGTTTGGTTCCGTCGTGCGCGACCGACCCCTCATGTACGCGCTGCAGCGTGAATGTGGCCGTTTCGTGCACTGCTGTCCTGCTCCCCAACGTCACCATCATGAGACGTGACTACACACACACACACACACACACACACACACACACACACACCCGAGTTGGTGGAGACATTCAGTCCCCCGTACACTCCCAGCCCCCGAAAGACGGAACCCCGCAAAAACACAACCCACCCCACAACACCAAACACAAACATCCACTGGCTGGTTTCCCCCCCAAAATCTTCTCTCTCCCCCCTGGTTTGTTGTTTGGGGCACCAAAGTCTTCCCCCCCCCTTATCGGCCTTTCATTAGGGAATTATGAAGGGGGGGGAAAATCTAATATTTCTATATGTGATTGATCCCCCGGGGCCGGTGGGTTGTGTCGATCTGA